CTTTTTTATTAATATCAGATATAGGGTTATCAAAAGCGAATAATGAATTCAAATGAATTTAAATGAATTCAAATGTAAATCTTCTATTAAAAATAGAATATATGCGCAATAAAAATTTGAGGTACTTGTGAACTTCTCCATTATTACTAGTATATTTTTCATTATTACTAGTATATACTTTGGCCGAAAGCCGAAGCGGAAAAAGCAAAAAGTGAATGATTTTTTGATATGGTGGACAAACGGCGTAACAGGAACAAAGAACATTGTTTGCAACGATTGTACCAGACATTGTAAAAAGTGCAATGTATCCTTCATGTGTTTCCTATTTAGACAATAATAGTTTAGAATAGTTAGTTAAAATTAGAATAAAACAACATGATGTGTGTCTAAATACTTACTCTAGTACAAGTTAAAACATAGGCTTGAAGTAGTCGAGTGCCAATTAGAACTTGAAGCCTGGGATATCTCTCAGATCTCATCAAGTTTTCTAAGCTTTTAGCATAATCAAATTTATCATTAACAAGTATGTGATGTTCTGGCGTTAAGTAAAGTGTTCCTGCTAATCATATGAATATTCAGTGAGGTTATATGAATATTAAGTGAGGTTATGTGAATATTAAGTGAGGTTATATGAATATTAAGTGAGGTTATATGAATATTAAGTGAGGTTATATGAATATTAAGTGAGGTTGGATGTTAATAACGATAATAACTAAATTTATATTATTATACTTGCCTTCGGTTCCATCAAGCGCTCTAAATTCAACCTTTAAAAATATTGTTTCAGCTTCAAAGCTACGATGAGCGATTAAATAAACTTTCGAAAACTTTAACGTCCCATTTATTGCACCACAGCACACTTGATCTCCAACGCGAACCGAAGACATTGGAACAACTTTTCTATTTATAAGCATGACCTCGGTATCAAGCTTGAAACAGCCTGCACCTGCCGCGTTACGGGCTTCTGCTTCTCTATCCTCCGCGTTTCTAATTTCGTTAAACGTAGCTGTAGTGTATGCACTTTTAAACTCGCTTATCAGTACCTTGGCTTTTTTCATGTTAAATAATACTGCTAGACTATCTTTTTTGTACAGTTCCGGATTAGGTGAAATAAACCATCGATTATCAACAGAAGTCAAAAGTTCCCGCATTTCTTGGCAGAGTTTCTTGGAATTGTGGATATTCTGTTTGTTTTTTAGTGAGATTTGTAAATGCAACTATTGTGCGATCTAGTGCTTGATCACCGAGATATGACTTGATCACTCGGAACGTTCTTGAAAAATTTTCACGTTGTCTTATATCTGTAATTTATGATATAATTTTCGTTCAAAAAAATAAACCAAATTTAT